TTTGAAAAAAAAAAGAAAGCGGCATGAACCCGTCGACAAATCCATTTTATCCTTAACTCACTGAAAATGAATGGTTCGCAATTTGCTGAACGGCTAGTCATCTATAAATCGATGAAAATTGCCTGAGTTTTATTACAAATCTATTCGCGAATAATCTTACTTCGCAAAATGTTTTTCTTTTTATTGAATATAACCTTTCTCTCTATTGCTTTTCTTTTCAATAGATATATTTTCTCAGAATGTTCCACGTTTGTCAAACAAATTATACAATAGTAGCAACAAGAAATTATATAACACGTTTATATCGAAAATATTTTATCAAAAATTAAAAATTCTATACTACTCTATATTTCATATTCAGTTCCATATTCTAGAATTGATATTTTGGGGGGTGGAAATTAATATTTTAGAATTAAAAGAAATAATTAATCATTTAGAATTAAATATTAATGATCTCTCTCGTATTATCTAATCGTCACACATATCTGCTTTAGTATTCTTATTAGAAGTATGAAAAATACACGTGTAATGGAGATTAAAAAAAAAGAAAATATTTGTAGGAATAATTATTGCGCGTACTGTATATAGAGCACATGTAAATTGACAAAGTCCAAAGACAAGAGTTCCGCAACGTCTGCAACACGGCACTTCTCGAGATGCACGCAAGCCACAACTGTTGTACTATATTAGCATTCACGCGATGCCACAATGGTGACGAACAAGATATGAACACCCAACAACGTCTTAGCTACGTGTGACGCGTAATTTAATCCTTATCTTAATCATCTTTTTCGCTTCTCTCTTAAGCTCACTGTAACAAACCTGAGAAAATATCCGTCGCTCATTATCTCCCGTGAAATGATGAACGGATTAACCACTGTGCAACCAACAAAAGGACGTTTCTTGATATCTCGCGTCCACCTGAGCGAGCACTTGCTTTAATTAATTTTATAGCAGGCAACTAAGACAGAAGAGCTTATAACGATCCTTTCCATGCACTCCGGGGAGTCCTCCTCTTTGGCTTTTCCCAGAACTCGTCTATGTTCTATATCATCATTGCTGTCTTTATATATATCGAGATTCGAGAAAGCATCTACTAATACCAACACACACCCACACACGCACACGTATACATTTCTCGACGGATATCACACTGTTGAGCTTTAGAAGCAAGAGACTGCTGCACCTGAGGCGTATCACAGTGGAAAGCTAATGAAGTGCAAAGTTTTCCACAGACTATCAGCTTTTGCTCGCTCGTTGCGATACGTCCGCGTTAATTAGGAAGGTTATAATCTACCGTTTCCATTTGAGTGCGTTGACATCAAACTAACAACTCGACTTACTCTCCTTTGTTGTCTCGAGAGAAACGAAGCTTCAGCGATTTTATCGTCAAAATCGAAATAAACAAGAAGCACAATTATCTGGCTCATAGAATGCACGTGTGCAACTGCGTTCATACTCTATCGCGACAATAAATACTAAAGATTCAATGCAGAAAAATACTTGTTACGTATATTAATAATATTCTCTTACATTCAGACTTGTAAACAATTTTAAAAATGTAAAAAATGTGTCTTCACGCGTAGAATTTTAAACATGCAAACAAATAATCAAATCTTCGTTTCTATATTCTTTATACTTGGAACAAGTATTTTATATTTTTATTTTACGGCTTGTTACAAAGATATTCGGAATATTATTTGTTTCGAATGTAAAAAATGGTGATTGAATTTACGAAAGAATAGATTTATGCCAAAATCGAAAAAGCTAGAAATATAAAGAAATATGCTACTTTTGCTCGTCTATTAGATCTTGCGAGGATGCCAAAGCTAACAAACTATGGTGGCGTGTCTTAAAGTTCTGCACTCACATCAGTGTTGAAGAGACAAGATGCTATACTACTACTATTACTACTATTACTACTACTACTACTACTACTACTACTACATTGTGGCTCGCCATTGTCTTCAAGATGGCAATGCCATTATCATCCACGTGATGTATTATAGGAAAAACAATGAGGAAAAAAATTTATCTTGGCCGGAAGTAGAGTCTTTTACCCATTCTCTACCTAATTCACTCTTAAGCTGAAACGTAATGAGCTCTGATCTAATCTAATTCTATCCAATCTGGCTATAGCTACATCCTGCAGCTATTACAGTTCTCTGATTACTGAACTACAGGTACTTTGTATGCATTTGGCTATTAAAGTTACTCATCCCTATCATCTATACATTGCGAAAAACGTGGAATAAATCGTGAATTTCTTTTAAGAATCATTATCCACAATTATTTTATATTTTAACTGCTGCTCATTTTAATTTAATTTCTTTTGGATTTATTACTTTTTGATTTTAATATGATAAAATATGTATGTAATACTAAAAATATAAAAGGGAGCTTTGTGAAGATAAATTTTTCAGGATTTAATGGCCATTATGTATTTATTTGGAATATTATCGTCGTAATTAAAGGATGTAAATATTTCACACATAAATTAACATATTATAATTGGAATAAAGCCAAGATGTGAGGAAGAAATAATTAGTTAAAATGCTTTATTAAATATGAATTTAAATTTGTACGATGGTGCAAGATATATCTTTCGCCATTAAATCCGGAATATGCAGCAGAGTTAGTTTCAAACACTAAGCAAACACTTCTGCTACTTCGAAACATATATCGACCGTTCCTGAGTGCATTTCTAACTCAACAACTTGCAGTGCACAAAGTGCAAGGGTGCTACGGACCATTTTGCAGCATCTCAGCACACAGTTACATAGGTCTTGAATAATCTCATTAAATTTTCTCGATAGTTGATTGCTTTTCATCCGTTAAATTATGATTAAATAAAAAAGTTACTGTTATTATACATATCTCAAATATTTAAAGTACGTTTTGATAGTTACTCTTTTTACTATAATTATATTACCTCACATATCGCAGCGTAAATGGGTGCGCTTCGTAACTTTTACACAAGTCTAGTTGAAAGTTAATATTATATATACATATTACTTTGAATCAACGTTAGAACTTTTGAGATGAATGGTTTACCTCTCACAATTTCAAACCACTGGTTATGCATAATTATATTCTATTGTGTTTTACAATTTTAAGAGAAAAATGTCAAACGAGAGAATATAAATTTTAATATTCGTAACATCCCTAGCGAAATCCTATAAAGGATAAAATAGCGAAAATATAATTCTTTGCAATAGGTTATTGCGTATAGCATATTTATGGCGTATAGCATATTTAAGCAAAATAATTAACAAAAATCGGATATTAAAATATTATTATGCACAATGTATTTTTTTATGAAATTAAATTTCTTTATGAAATTAAATTTCTACTTATTAATGCGAATTGTGTTCTTTTTGATTTATAAGAAATTCTTCCTCTTCCTATTTTTCGATACAATTAAATCTTTCTATTTCATTTCGTTTTTAATAATATTCGTGTTGTTGTCATGCGTATTATTTCCCATAAATTGATATTTATAGTCACACACAATTCGTGAAAATCGATAATTCGCAGTTGACTGGAACAAATCTCGAAAATTGTTCATTGATGCGTGCCATTTTTCACGTGTGACCCTATTAAAAATAATAAACTCGTTGTTTTTTTAACATAAATGTACGTTAAATATGTGAACAATGATAAACCTCTATGCAATTTTGCGCATAGAGTAATTTCTTTAACTAACGAAAAGAAAAATACATTCGGCATAGAGAAAAAAAAACACCGAGAGAAAAGAAATTAAACAGACTAAAAGAGAAAAATTGAGAAAAAGGAAGTCTCGTATATAACAATTTTATTTTATCAAGATCGCAGACTGAATCGTGCAAAAGCATATTCAGCACAGATGATAACTTTTCCGAATCTAAAATCTTTTGAGGTTTTAATGAATGTATGATTCAACAAATGTTAGAATAATAAAGATTTTGATTTGATATAATGCGTAATAAAATTCAAACGTAATTCAAATAATTATTGTACATATTGTTAAAACTATCTATTGCTAAATAGATCAAAAAAGAATCTCCGATAATGTTTTATTATTACAGTACCGTATCTATTGACAATTAAAAATATTTAAACTTCAAATGTCATAACTTTCACATAGGTTAGCCCTAAATCGACTATATTGCAAACGCTCACAGAAAAATCTAAAGCTTTCTCTGTAGTAAAGTTTCTGTCAAAAAAACCATAGTAAAATATAACGAAAATTATTAAGCGCATCACATGCAAGAAAAGATACAAATGCACGCGATAGTGGCGAACGTGGCAAGAGTGAATAGACAGAATCAATACCCTCGATTTGTTGAGTGAAACGCCAATCGTTCTCTATTTCGAGAAATACGTTCGTCGCCTGCGTATCAAACTATTGCTACCTGCATTTAGCTTCTGCGCGAGTATTGAAATAAAGGGAAAATTGATAAAAAATCGATTTTCAAGTTACAAAAAGATCTGATAGTTTTTATTGGAACTTGGAACGAATAATTCTAGGAGAAACGCACTGTCGAGAATATTGTATATTTTTCAAAGAGTTATACACGTTTGCGGACGTTGGCATTTTCAGAGCTTCGTTATTCTTCGCTCGTGCATTTAATAGCCGCAATTGAAAATTTCCATTAACCAGAAATTTCAATCTAATCTCTCGTCTGGTTTTAAGGGTTGATTTATCAATCATAAATTAAACAGTATAGATAAAATATTCTACTCATGCGTTCTAGTACAAATTGGAATTTTATATTTAGAAATGTCAATCAGAAATATGTGTTTTATATTTTTTTTATTTAAAACAATAAAAAATAAAAAAATCAAATAAAATTTGCTAGCATTATATATAAAAATTAATTGATTGTAAAGAGGACGTACACATTTATATATGTATATACGCGTTGTAGATGTATGGACTAGATAAATGAATATTGATCACTCGTGTGCTGTAAGCTGTAACTTTGAACACTCAATCAGCGAATTTCTCTTTGTTTCAGATACGCTGAGTCTAGGAGATCGGACGATAGATAACATAGACAGACACGCAATTCAGACCAGACCACGACAACAATTGCTGGATCATTCTTCCGGATTGAAATCGAAACCGGAACCCATCTTCGACTTTTCGCAAAATACTAACGTGACGGCTCTGATTGGAAAAACAGCATACCTCACGTGTCGAGTTCGCAATTTGGGCGATAAAACCGTAAGAACTTTTTCTCATAATATATTGTCTATAATTAATCATCATTAATTATAAAAAATATAAAATAGAGATATAATCTAAAAACAATACTCATATTAACATGAATTTAATATTTGCTCGTGTATTGTTGAAATAATCAATATAGTAAAAGAGGCCAACATAACGAGCATTAAATAGAATGTTAGAATCTGAAATTTATTTAATATATTCTACAAGCATTGTTAAACCGAAAAAGTATCAATCAAATCGGACAAATCATAAATTTACAGAATCTTACATAAAAGAATTATCTAGACGTTTCGACTGCACGCAATCTTCTTCAGTTTTACACAAAAATCAAGTCATATCTTAACCGCTATTACATTACATTAATATCCTATCGAATTAATAATGTTAGAAATATGTCACGTGTCGCAATGTGTCATGTCTGATGTTTCGTTCATGAATCCTTCTGTAGAGATCGCTCTTAAGCTATAAAATGCTTCCCGTGAAGTTTCTTCGTTTTTTTGCGAGAAATGCGGTTAATAATGGTATGCACTGCGTACAATCAAGTCAATTAATAATCGGTCACAATTTATAAAAACTTACGTAATTGTTCAGCTTACTTTTAAATCTCTTTGTACTGATTTTACGTTTTTTTTTAAATTGTATAAAAACTTAAGTTCGGTAAGATATCTCATAATACTCATATTGTTGAAAATGTTACAATTACAAATTATAGTAATAATTATGATTTAATCTTTACAATACGTCCATTTTCCTAATTGAAAGATGCGAAAATATTCATTATATTATACATATAATTATATGTTTTATTCTAAAATTTGCATTGATAAATGCGCATTTAAATTTTTTATAATAGATAAATCTTTTTATAATGGATGAAATATACTTGAAATTGGACAATACTTAAAATAATGTTTCTGCAATTAGAAATTAGGTTCCTGACTTATTTACATAATACAAAAATATATTTTGACAAAGCATTCCTATAATATATTTTACGGGAATATTAATAATATCGCGCTTGTAATAATACGTGATAATAATACCACATTTTTAATGCAAGATATTATTTATTTTTCAAATGCATTTAATTTAAAACCTGAGGGAACATTTATACTAAAGGCAAATACTATTTCTTTCTCACTCTCTCTCCCCTCTCTTTCTCTCTTTCGTTTCTTTTATTCAAGAATCCAGTCTTAAGAGAAACGATTTGCAGGATATAATCGAGTTTTGCACGGGGTCGATTGGACGTTAATTGATCTTAGAGGTAACTGGAAACTCAATTTCATCGCAGACTATCCATCAGTTCCATACTACCATTTCTATTGAAAGAAATTTTTAGCGCTATTAAATAATCGAATTGATCGATCTTGTGTAGATCGTTATTGAATATAGTCCTTCATGAGAACATTCGATAAGATAACACGAATATTCTTTAAAATATATGGAGTTTTATCAGTTTGGTTATTTTAAATAAATGCGTTCATTGTGGATATCAAAATAACAATAGTCCCTATATATTTGCTTCTTTCAAAGTGTTAGTATTGTCTTTCATATAAACAAGAAATTAATTTCTTTTATCCTAATAATAAAAATGTTTGCAACAATAGTGATAACTTTATGTCTAAATTAAAATAATTAAAGATTGAGAAAGAAGTACTACTCGATTACATAGATTATAAGTCGCTGTAATAGTTTTAGAAAATACTTGAAAACTAAATGTTTAAAAATAAAGAATTGTTTCTCGCAACTTAAATTATTTTCGCTTTAATAATAAAAAAACAAATGAATAACAAAATTTATATAAATAAATTTTATTTTAATAAAGTAATCTCTAGGAAGTCTTTTACGTAAAAAATTATTAAAATTTTTAATATTAAATTTAAGAATTGGAAAAAAGAAACAAAAAATGTTCCATTAAATTTTTATATTAAAGAGAAATCAATATAGTATTACAAATGTATATGTATGTACGCTATAATATTGTGTAAAATACTTATTTTACCTGAAAATATATCTTTCACTGTTTTTACTCATAACAGAATAATTAAAACTCTACAAAGACTTAATTTAAATGCTATTGTAACATCTGTAAAAAGCGTCGGATGCAATATTACATAGAAGAAAGAAATTGACTTTGCACTCCTTTATAGTTGTTTCGCGACGTAATGTGGTAATTGTGTATAATAATAGATCAGGGTTTTGCTCGAAAATTTTTCCGCGTTTCTGCTTTCTCACAAAGCAATTTAATTATTCGTGCACTAGTGGTTAAGCTGCCTCACGCGGAATCCGATTTACGAGTTGGTTAGTCGCCCGAGGCTGCTTGTTGTAAAGCTAATATACAAAATAGATATAAGTAAATACTATTAAAGTAATTATAAATATTATTAAATTACTAAAATCTTAAATTGATATATGTATATACCTATATATATATATATATATATATATATATATATATATATATATCATTTTATAAAATGATAGAAATACATATACACAAAATTCCTTACATTTCGGTTACATATCAACACAATTATATATATATATATATATACCTATATAACTTAATTTGATGAAAAAGTACAAACAATTTTGTTAAACCGAATATTTATCAAGTTTTTCAAGCAAGAACAATCAAATTAAGCAGACTTAAACTCGATTAATAAATATTTTACGAAACTTAATGGAAGCAACAATGTAATTAAATTAAATTAATCTAAATATAATAAATAGTTGTTAAAAATTTTTAAAAATATACTTAAATTGAACTAGTTATCAGAGATGTATTATATACATATATTTCTGAACAAAGTATTATATAACGATAAAATTAATGAAGTCGCCAGTGATGAGTAAAACCATACAAATTTATTGAAATTTCGACCTAACTGGCCAGTACAATTTAATTAGAAACAGTATTATATATATTTTGAAGATTTTTTCAAAGAATTTTACAATGTGCAGTTTAATATCATCTCTGATATATGATTCGATTATCGACTTACTGATTTACAGATCAAATACTATCGTTCAGTTCTGCTCGCGATGTTATCAAAACTCGATATGTCTATATTAATGAGCCAATTTAAACCTGAATTTGGCACAAAATTGCATATAAAATTATTAAGATTCAAATCCATTGAATAATGAATCCATTGTTTATATTAAATAAGAATATGCAAAATTAATTCCCTGTATATATAAAATGTAACAAGCTATACTATCTCAAAACTCTACTACAAATAACGAAAATATATATTTTATAATACTTTATAATATTTACAGTTTTATTGAGACTTGTTTATGAGATTTATATTTTTATATGTAATATAAATGTTTAATTTCAACACAGAGATAGGTGGAGATACAATAAGCTAATTTGCGTAAGTCCATTAAAGACGATTTACATAAGTCACCAAATATAATACTATTAGATTTTGTTTTACAGAGTTGCATCAGAATAAAACATTAAATCGTTATTGTCACACAACAAGAAAAAAGAGAATTATGAAAATAAAAATTTATATTACTTCGTCAATAATTTTAACACTGTTACTTTATGTTATTTCACATTAGAAATAATGTTTATAAATAATTGTAAAATATATTATGTTAAATTTAATATATATACTGTCTATTCGGTAAAAAAAGTTTGCAATGTGTTAATCTTGATCGTATTTTACGTGTTTGCGCCTTTTCAAAGTACTTTCAGTAAAAAATATTTTACTATTATTTATTTCTTTAATTATATAAATATAAATAAATATAAAAAGTATTTTTGTGTGAATAAATGTTACTTGTAATTAATAATTAAAAATGGAAAAAAGTGTATGTTATTGGGAAAAATTAGAATAATTTCTTCAATTAATTGACAGCAATACTTTATCGCATAAAAATTTTTAATAATCTTTGTAAAAAGATTTAAATATCTTATATTTTATCAAGCCCATTTTGTATAATATATTTAACATATTTACGGGGTCTATATTTTGTAATATTTTCATAAAAACAAATACAGGAGGCATTATCATATTTTATATTTTCGATAACTACAGGCACAAGCGAACAATCGAATATTTCAGGAAACTCATAATACCGGAATTATCTTCATTTAGCGTGGATGGATTAAATTTTGATACATACTTGATGTGACGCGCATATTAAAAGGAATAGCTGTTAATCATATTTTATGACACAAACGCTCGTCTGATTAGTGCAATAGCGGGATTATCGAGAGAAAAATAGCACGAAATTTTACGCCATGCCGGTCATATAAATATTAAACAAGATAAAAAGAAAAAAAACTACAGGGAATTGCAAAACATATTCCGCAAAATATTGAAGCAATGGAATAATTATTATGAGAATTTTCACAACTAATTGTTGATCGCCAGTGATAAATTTTAACAAATAATAAGATGCAATTTGATTCGACCAAAAACTGGCTATTCATTTATTGATAATAAGTACACACTACGTTTCGACCCACATTGTGGTTTTTCTCAAGTGCTAAAATACAAAAATACATAATTTGGCAAGCGAAATTAACATTACATTAACACTAAATTTGATCTATAATACATACTTGTTCTTATTCAGCAATTACATTAATTAAAGATAGAAACATGAAAGTTGTCTTGTCATATCGACAGTCTGTTAGCTACTGTAGACTAGTATTATGTTTTTAAATCATTTGAATAATGTTGTCATAAATAGGACTAAGGTTGTCAGTGTTTATTTGTAAATTAATTTTATTTGTTTGTCTTTTTATGTAGAACATTTCAACGATCTCTCTTTTTCGTCTATTTTTCTCGGTATGTAAAATACATGCCTCAAGCCATCGGAAGTCACGATTGCATTCGGTTTTATGTTTACTGACCACCGAGTGGCTTGTTTCATGTCTTTTTATATTATTTTGATGTTCTTTTACTCTAGTAATCAAATGTCTTTTTGTTTGTTCTATATACGACGCGTCACAATCATTACATTCT